TGCCTGCTGAAACCAGAAAAGGCTCAAGCATTACTGTTTGTTTACCAGCGGTAAAAATGCCGTCAGCATCTAAAGGTTCCATGTCAAACCTGAGGAAACACCTACAGGTAACTTAATGTAACTGCAGTCACTCAGATTAAAGTAGCCCCCACCACACCATGTTATTTATGTTCAAAATGTCATTTAGGTCTATATTTTGCTTTTAAAGTAAAAGAATCCTAATCTTAATTTATGATGAAGAACCTTTAATAAAGGTTTGACGGTATTCCGTGTTGAGTACTGTGGTGAGGTTCACGCCGTCTGGATTAAATGTACATTTTAAGGACTTCCAGCTTTATTGCCCAGCTAAAAACATTAGTTATAAATGTAATCAAATGTAATAAAGCTACATTACTTTGATGAATTAAAACAATTGCATTGCTTATTGCATTTTTAACAAGGTAACTAGTAATCTGTAACCTCTTACATTACACTGGTCAGTAGTCTCTGTCTCATCTTTTTAAGCTCTCTTTCATGAGCATCGTGATAAATTAAGCTTAAATGTCTCAGGCCCAGAGACCACAAGGGCTGATACATGAAACCACAGTAGATGGATGACATTTGGTTAAATAACAATCACAATGCCCTTTAATGTCAGAAATAATCTGTCAAGCCCAGGCAACTACTTTGCTGCATGTCTAATGGTTTAATTTAAGAAAGGTTCCCAGGATTTTCCCAGGAATATCATGCCTTCATCCTCTACATCTAAACCTCCTCTGGGTTACGAGGCAGTGCCAGCCACCATCAAACAGATGATGAAGGTATTTTACAGCAATTACTGTAGTTCAGTTAAATAATGGGTTACCTTGAGGAACCCAAGACAGATTGTAGTAAATGTCTGCACAAATCTTGCATACTTCTGTAACACTGAAACAAGGATCCGTGTATTCACACTGGGAATAATCCTTCATAGATACTATAGCTGAACTCCAGACCAGTAATGACAGTCACTGAGGTTTACAGTATACTTGGCAGACATGCTATGAAAGCACCACCAATGTGAAAAAGTGCTCCGATTAAAAGCTTATTAAGTGATCAGTTTTCAAGCTTTGGAGAGGATCCACAGGTTGAAAAATGCCAGAATGACTTGACTATATCTCATCTAGATGAATAGAAATAAATTATATTTCAGAGCCTGAAGCACCCAGTCAATATTGAGAGGTCAAAAGCGACCACAACAAATATAAGAAGCACAACTTCTACAAGAACAAACTCATACAGTCCTTGCTCTTTGTCCCCATCAGTGGGCCCAGGAGATTCATAACAGCAACGGCAGATGAGAGCAGCCGGGCTGGGACATGCTCTATGAGACGTGGTAAAAGTGAGTTTTCAACATATTAAATAAACCATGCTCAGCACACTTTTGGAGCAGGGAGTTTAAAGCCCTCTAGGAATTAGGTGTAGTGACTGAGTTTACCCTCAAAAACACGCTGCTATAAATGACACCAGAAGTCGATCTGCAGCTTATCATTATATCATTTAGTGTTGTGACATGCAACAGAGTACATGTGTGAGGACATGCAACCCCCATTTACCAGGCAGCTAAATAAGATAAAACTCACAAATCAGACTTTCCATCAATTATTTCCTCTTTCTCCCAATTCATCACTTTAACCCTTGCTCAACATAAAATTCTAGGGAAGCAACTGACATGACTGTATACAGAACAGGTAAAAGCTCTGTCATACTGTAGATGTTCCTGTGGAGAAAACATGATGCTTGATGAACATCTTTCTGGGTGCACTCGTGGATTAGGAGATGAGA